AAAACGTGCAGGTCTACTTAGTTCCTAGTTTTGAGAAATTTGACGTCCAAATCTTTTAGTTTCCCAATATGTCTAACTTTTTTCGAATGCAATTATTTAAATATCTTGACAACGACTCCCAATATTCTTATCATTTTTTATAAATAGAACAAATAGAGCATTTGGTTTCTGACCTCATGGTCTTAGTAACCTAAAACGGCTAAACTTGTCAGTTAGAACTTTGCAATTCTGAGGTAGCGTAATGCTTTACTTTATTGTCAATTTGGGGCCACTAAATATTTCCCTAGGGGGCTCATCTGACCCATGGTACGGGGATTTTGAAACTCCTGAAGTAGATGTTGATGAGTGCGAGTGTTAGTATGAGATTTTGCATGTAAAATTAGTCTGTCTCGCTAAGCTCAGGTAAGAAACGAAATGAAGCCCAAAGCTCGACTCTTCGTAAACGCAGTTGTGAAAAATCCAATATAATAATATAAAGGATCAGATATACCCATAGTTTAGATGCTTTAAAGGTTGAACTACTTTAATGTGTATCTAGATCTAGATAATGCACATGAATAGGAATGTCTAAAATAGTCTTTTTCTGAATAAAGAGAAATGAGGTCAACGGGGTTTTTTTTAGGGGTTGGAGGGAGAGGCTGTTGTGGTTGGAAGCTCAGACCAAGATAGATCTATTCCAATGGCAAACTTAACACAGTGATTGAAATATCAGCTTTTTAACCGAGGGATTTAGGGTTCCGACATAACAAACTGCGACGTGAGTTATTTCTAAGCTGGTCTACGAGAGCGGTAACCTGGGATTCTTGGATTCGGACCTCAATTAGTCTAACATGATTAATACTTATCGTTTCTGCCGTGTCTAACGAGCCTTTTAACATGAGGGCATGGGGTTCGGACTTGACCAGGAGTCTCTGAGATATACTCTTGGACTTCTCTCGTGATCCTTTGTCACGACTCAAAGTACTGTCTCTGACTAATGTGACCGCGCAAGTGCCCTCCAGTCTACAATAACCAAAAGAAGTTCGAAAGGAACATTAAACATAACCAATATCAGACTGGAGATTAATTGAGAAGCGGTTGTTCCAAGAATACATTATTGACGTTATCGGAGTAGACAGCAAAGTGGGTGTGACCAGCCACTCTAGCGCCGTGTCAGCCAGTCGGTCCAGTCTTTATTAAGCACATTTCCTTCATCTATTTTCCGGACCTAACTTATTAATTTGATTGTATTGATAGCTCCGCCGTTTCTAAGTCCGAGCACATAGGGAAACGGCGACCTGGTACAAGATCATTAATATTCATGAAGAAATAGCCACATTCTCTGTGCAGTGTTAATTCTGGCTGAGAGAAATCGTGAGGGAGAAGAGGAGGAGAAACCATTTATGGTTCTCTTTTTTTTAATTTCTCAGGGGTAGTTGGCCGCAGAAGTAGGGGTCGCCGGTTGATGAGGTTTTAATAGTAATTTTTTAAAAGGATGGGTGATATTCATAATGTGTGTGCTCATAATATATCATATATAACCCGGCTGTTATGATATTGCATTATTACATAGGCTAAAGGACTCCTTTATTACAAAGTTCACTTAGTTTGATCTTGAGAAAGCTTGAATTTGAGTTAGTTTGCTTTTAGGGGGGGGGGTGTTAATTATTATTTGTTTTTATTGTTGTTTTTGTTGGGGTTTTGTGGGCACGAGATGCGGAAAGATTTTGAATGAGGTAAAGTGGGGAGGGGGTGGGGGGGGGATAAAGGCAGAAGGCGGATAAGCCTGATTACTGAGTGCTGCAGGAGTACTATCCGTCTCTTGTAACGGCCATTGTGCAGACGCCGAGAGCGGCGATAGTACTGTGTGTCGCGAGGAGTGAGATGGAGTACTTGGGGGTGGTTTAAGAGTTTGGGCTACTAATCAAGAACACTCTTGGAGTTTTCCTGGCAATTTGTCAAAGATTTCCCCTCTTTTGGTGCCACGTGAAAATGTTTTGTAATGTTGAATGGCATGGTGTGTGTCCATTATGATGCTGGAACCCCCCCCCCCCCTTTTTTAAATTTTTTTCTCCAAAAAATAGCTATTGAATAAATAGATAAATAAATATGAAAATAAATACATGAATGATAACAAAAGTAATACATGAAATGGAAAAAGATAAGTAAATTTACAGCTAAAAATTCTCAGTTACTAGACTACGCGTTATTTCTAAAATATTCTTCTAAACATTGAGTTTACTTTGGATTTAAAAAGTAGCTTTTGGCATTGTCCCGTGGAAAAAGACTGTGTTTGGAATAGAGGAAGATGATTATACGTTGAGGGAAGTTAGAGTCCCGCCTTCTTAGAGATTACTAAAATAACCGAGGGAGTGTGTGGGAGGGTTGTTATTGTAATACTAAGTTATTGTTTAATGCCTCCATTAGCACACTATAGACCATTAGGAGCAGGGCTGCTTCGATCCTGCCATGCGCGGCTGAGCGGGGAAAAAATACCATCAGACATAATATTATGTAGGTACTCGATAAAAAAAAAAAACTGTCCTATTTCCGTATCTTGCGTCTAACGGTGAAGAGCCTAGATTAATACCTGTGCACACTGTAAATCGATTTCGTTTTAATTCAGTCAGGGCCAACCAGGTTTTTCTTCTTTAAAAGGCAAAATTTACCTGTTTTGGCACGCTACTACCAATTCAACTCCCTATTTTAACTTGCATGAGTAAATTTAAACTGGCAATGCGAAAAGACAAACAGTCAAAAGGTCAAATAGCAGAAATGATAATATTATTATCAATTAAGTTTAGAATTTAGCAATCTTGACCTTGCTTTTGACTGGCCTAGAGTTGATGTCATTATCATGCCATGACCTGATATTATAGCGGGGTGAAAAGTGGAGGGAAAAAAAACAAGCACTAGCAGCCGACAAGAGCTTATTTTATGTTGGACTTTCCATACCCTTTTTAGATAGACTAGGCCAGTCTGATTGTTAGCTTGATGATAATCAGCGTCTGTACCTGCTTATGATAGTGACCCAAATTCGAAGGGGGAGGAGGGCAAGGGGTTAGTTTTTTAAACTCATTTTTAATATTTCCCCCAGTATACTGAATTGGTCTCGATTATTGGTAGGTTATGAATAGAATGTGATAAATTAGTAGTTTCTATTGAGTTTTAAAATACGTCCAGAATAACAAAAAAGAGACACTGATTTGTTTTGTTTTTGTTTTGTTTCTTATAATGATATGAGATTAATTTTAGTGATTATACGTGCTGTCATAGAGCAGGCTCATTCGTACATGATTTTATAAACGTCTATTTGGATTGATAAGGCCTGCGTCTCTGCGTGATTTTGACAGCAACGGTGTTCCCAAATTGTGGAAGGAAAGCAGTGATTAATTGATTACGTAGACGCTGCACCCCGTCACTACACTGTTTGTCGGAATAAATAGTCCAACTCTCAGTCATCAGACTTCATGCCGCAGTGAACATCACTAATTATAGATTACTTCGCATGCAAGTCTTGTTTTCAGAGTTTCTTGTAAAAAAAATAATTATATATCGTTATCAGCAAATTGCATATTTTATTCTGAAAAGGGCTTCTTGAAAAGAAATATACATCATAGTCTGTACATTACATTGTATTCTGAAAAGGGAAAATAATAGATGACGTGCTTATCTGGAAATCTTGTGGAATAAAGACACTGGCAGTAAGCTAATTTAATGTTTCCACGTCAACAACGTGGATGATCATCATCATCATCATTGCCTTTCTCACCCTGCATCAGGGTATAGGCCACGGACAAACACCCTCCACTTTTCTCTATCCTGGGCTAGCCTCTTGATGTTATTCCATGTCTTCCCACTTTTCTGTACATCGATAACGTGTATGATGCGAGGGCCTATTTATAAAAAAAGCAACAGCAAAACCCAAAAGCAGACGTAGGCCTACTACTTACATGGTATTAATGACAACCACAAGTTGGCATGGAAAGTCGATGAACTTGTCACGAGTGATTTCGGTTACGAAATAATAGTAAAAGGGCTATGTTGAGAACATAATACCATTTGTAAGAAATATTTTCACCCTTTTAGTAAGAATAAAATGCTGACACATCCGCATGACCGTTATAAACTCTTAGGTTTAAAAAAAAAATCAATATTGAGCTGCGTATCTAATTTCAATTAGAAACTAAATACGCCAAGTATGGAATTTTGAGATTATTTAGATCGTTAAACTGAAGTTTAAAGCACAATAATTAACCCATTGGACATGACCTTCCAATTCCAGAGGATCTAGAATACTCGAGGGACAAAAATAAAGTTCCATCAAAGAATAGCATATCAGAGAACTATGTGGAACTTCCTATGTATATCAGTTGTTGCAATTGCTAGTGTAGAACAAGTATTTTCTTCATTGTTTTGTTTGTTTATTTTTTGTTTGTTTTGTTTTTGCTTTGTTTTTTTTTGTTTTTTTGTTTATTTTACCTTACTGATAGTTGTATTTACCAGATAATATTGATCCGTAAACAATTGTCCCGACTGTAACAACACCCACAGAAAGAAACTTACAGAATCAACATCTTTGATAGAACAATAAAAGAGAAAGAAAGAGAGAGAGAGAGAGAGAGAGAGAGAGAGAGAGAGAAAGAGAAAGAGAGAAAGAGAGAGAGACGGGGGGTGGGTGGGGGAGAAGAAAGCGAGGCACAGAGAGGAAAGCAAAACTGGGAGAAGCAGAGTAAGAACGGGAGAGTGAAATTTAGAGACAAATTCAGAGTGAAATATATATAGTGAGAGGGAAGCACCTAATGTACGGTATAGGGTAAAATATTATTTAGTCCAGGAAAATAATGAGCAGGAAAAAAACTTGTTCGAGTACAAAATACTGTTTTGATTAATACGTTCCGCGCGGCGTTTGACACAGTCAGTGAGTTAGTTATTTCATTTACCGTTTAACTGCTAAATGCAGAACCCATTTACATTTTTCAGCTTGAACAAGAAATCGTCAACTGCAACAATCTCAGTTAGAGTTTATACCACTGAAAGTAATTTCATATCCCTGTGTGGCAGTTGAGTTTGACCTCACAGAAACACGACATTCGAAAAGAACCTTGTACCTTGTGGGTGTTTTTTTTCTTAACGCTCTCATTTACACAATTTATACTATAGAAGACAGACTTTCACCTGTCCTAGACTGTCAAGGTCAACGCGTGCTGAGATTGGTACAAAGTCTCAGCAGAAAGAGAGAGATACTCGATCAAACTAGTCCTAATATGGGAATCGAACCCATTTTGTTGTTGTTGCAAGCAACAGCGAAGTGCCTAGCATCTGCGTCAAAGACGTAGGTTTAGAAAAGAACCAGATATTAAGGTAGAGAGTTATTCTGCCCGAGGTCACGTTGTCATGTTTTATAAGACATTTACACCTAGTTTCCTGGTCTGCTGCATTTTGTCTATTAGGTCTGCCTGTGCTGCATTGTTATTTTCAGTGCTTGTGCAATTAACCGAGAATCCAGAGAGATTGGGAGTTTGGCCAAAGGCTTTTCTTCTTTACTTTAATCATGAAAAATTGGCCCTTTTTGCCGTTAACTAACGGGAGCTCGGAGACACCCGTTATGTTCCTTCTACGTGGTATACATCCTGATTGTGATTACTATAACTGTAGGCTTCCTAAATAGCTTGAACCATATGCATGGAGCTCGAGTTTTCTCCTAGGTGCATGAAAAAACAAAATCCTCCGAAGAGATCACACCCGTCTCTGAATTTGGAATAAGACTTTGGGGTGCTAATTGTAAAAGGAGAGTGACATTCAGCGACAGATTCAGAGTGAACGATACAGTGGGAGGAAGTACCTAATGTACTGTATTGAACAAAAATATTATTTAGTCCTGGGAATGGGAAAAGATGGAGGAGAAAGAAACTGTTGTTACAATCACAATACAGATTTAATTAATGTATTCCACGAGGCGTTTGACACAGTCAATGGGTTAGGTCTTTAATGAAGAAATACCGGGTGTCTAAAAATAAGAGTAGCTATGTAAAAGGGAATTACTTGATCAACTTTGCAGCAGTTTCAATTGAACTTAAAACAAATACAATTCAGTCATGAAAACGTCAGTTTGTCTATATATGGAGAAAATCAACGAACCTATGGTTTTTTTAAAATTTCAATCAAAGCTTGAGGAAAACGCAGAACTTTTCCACAAAAGAGAACGTGATAAAAGTCATCATCATCATCATCATCATCATCATCATCATCATCATCATCATCATCATCAACAACAACAACAACATCAGTCTACGTTCTGATTCTAAATTATGGCAATGGGTTCGTACAATTTTAGAAGAAATATTTTATTTTAACAAAAATTGGTTTGGTGAAAAGGCTGGTGAAACGTCTCTTAACCTCAGAAAAGCAGGTTTTTGTTTTGTATGTTAAACATTTAAGTATTGAAACGTTTTCACTTTCGTCCCAGTCACAAAATTGGCCAGGAAAGCATTGAGAAAAATTTTCTTTAATAGAAAATTACCCCTCCAATCCCCCCCCCCCCTTTAATAAAGCAACAACAACAACAACAACAACAACAACAACAACAACAACAACAACAACAACAGTAACAACAGCAACAATTGCAACGACAATATCAAAAACAACTACAAAAACTCGGACCGCAATATGTTACGACCCTTACCTACGTTAGTTTGGGGATTCGACGAATCAGGTTCAGAGCCTTTTCAACACAACAAGAAATGGAAAATCCCTTTTTTATTGTAAAAAAAAAAATAGACAGCCAATAACTGTGCTTTGAGACCATGACATCATTTATTACATTACGACGTTTTCTTTTCGTGATATTTATTTTTTGTTTGTTTAACAAACTTGTTTAAGTTACATTATATCATTATACAGTGTTCTTTTCGTGATATTTATGAAATGTTTTATTTTTTCACATAATACTATTTAAATTTTCATGATATCTTAAAATTAAATGAATTGTTTGCTTAAGATACATTATACCGTCTTTTTTTCGTAATATTTATTAATTGTTTCTTTTGTTTCCTCTTTGTGTATTTCAGAAGTGTCCCTGACCTTGCTCTTGACTTCAGGCAAGCTGAGTCATTGGCGCTGTCTCCAGAAACAAGGACGACACGTTGTTCTGTAGATGATGATGCTTTTAGTACCAAGAAGGATGGGGTGGGGGTGGGGGTGGGGAGGGTGGGCAGGGGGTGGTAGTGGGATTAGTTTATGGATTGGCTGAGATGTAGTGAATGTATTTGCTCATTAAAAGTAAAAACAGACAAAAATTAGTGTTGAGTCATTTTCTTTCTTTGTTTTTCGGTCTAACTCTAAACCAACTACAACTATTTTTATGCTGGGCATGTGGGGAGTAATGTGGGAAGATTATAATACCATACTTATTAAAAATGTATATTCAAAACAGAAAGGAACAAGTTTGTTGTTTTTGAAGAAAGTGAAGATTGTCAGTCACTTTTTAAAAACTTGATGGATAGTTTGTGTGCCTGTGAAATGAACTGTTTTGTTTGTCTGTCTGTCTATATGTGTAAATGTCTGTCTGTCTGTCTGTCTGTCTGTCTGTTTGTCTGTCTGTTTGTCTGTCGGTCTGTTTGTCTGTCTGTCTGTCTGTCTGTCTGTCTGTCTGTTCGTCTGTCTGTCAGTCAGTCAGTCTGTCTGCGGCCTTTTAACTATTATAATATTATCATCAGGTCGAAAGTAACGCCCAGACAAAGTGGCGTCGAAACACAAGTATACACACAAAAAACAATAGCACACGCATACAAACAAACGCACACATACATCTATACACATAGATTTCTTTAAAAGGTCTCTACACTCGAAAGAGGAATACATGCTGCTGCCGAGAGTGACAGTATAGGTCACTGTCATTTGCCTACACATCACGCCAACAGATTGCTCACAATCACGCGTTGCTTTCTTGATTTTCTTTTTTCTTCACTTTTTCTCCTGAGATCTGTCTGTCTGTCTCCATTTGCATCTTTGTCTCCCCCCCCCCCCTCTCCGTCTCTCTCTCGCTCTCTCTCTCTCTCTCTCTCTCTCTGCTCCCCCCCCCTCTCTCTCTCTCTCTCTCCTTCTCTCTCTCTCTCTCTCTTTCTCTCTCTCTCTCTCTCTCTCACTCTGAGTCTCTCTCTCTGCGTCTCTCTCTCCCTCTCGTTTTCCCTATCTCTCCCTTTCTCCCTCATCTCCCTTACCCTATTTCTCATTCCCTAACTCCATTAAGAACATTCATCAATAACACCCATTGCCATCCTACATTTAACTTCCTTTCCCCTCTGCCAAGGCCTCTCTAATATCCCCGCCCTAACCGGCGTCTGTGGTGTAGCGGCTAGGCGCTTCGCAGTGGCTCTCAGGAGACCCGGATTCATTCTCGTAGGTGGAGAAAACACTATGTTTTTATCGATTGTCTCAGTCTTTCTGCTAGAATATTGCATCCTGCCAAAGAAAGTACATAACAAGATGGGCCACTCAGCCAAAAAAGTGTCCGCCGGAAGTTCTCGCTTTGCCTCAGATGGCGCTGCAGTCTGTTTTGAAGCTCTCTTTCGGTTTTTTTCAGAAGAATGGGAATAACACCTCCTTGCGTGCGCAGATCGACTGCTGTTCACCAGCTGTTCGGGTTCGTTCAGTGTTGAGTTTTAGGTTTTAAAGAAATTTTAATGACCTCTCGCCTTTCATTCTAAAGTCAAATTAAACGAAGAAAACAATAACCCTTTCCTCCGGAAGAGGTTTTTTGTCAGCGTAACCATTTTTTAAAAGCGTTCTTCCTAAATTTATTCAAAAGCTTGCTAGTTTCACTTTGATTTTTTTAAACTCAAGTAGGGTAACTCTGTTCGCAAACGGTGCACATTTGCGAAGAGGGCGCCACCGAATTTTGAGGACACTTTTATAATTGGCTCAAAGAGAGAAGTGGCCCCTCTTGTTATGTAGACTCTTTGATCCTGCTCAGCCCCTGTCGGCCTTGCAAGTCATGATCGAATTCCTCGTCTTAAATGATCTGAACTAAAAACCGTGTCAACAGGGGCGTAAAGACACCTACATAAAAAATAGTACTAAAAAGTTTTAAAAACAACATATTCTTTAATCCTGTTACATGTCTTACTACTTCAAATTTTAATCACCGCTTGACAACTTTTTCTTCATTCTAATTAGTATTTAACGGCTTCTTGTTCTGTCTACCAACCTTGCTTGCTCCAACAAACTACTTTTGACATCCAGAACCCGTTGTAACAAACTGTCTCCCCACATGCCCGCTGGGCACGATCCTCCAAACATCCTCTCTATTCTTACGCAAGCAAGTGTTCTATTCTTACTTTACCCCTGAAGAAAAAACAAC